AATCTGGTTTGAGAACACCTCAGACAAAGTTTCTTTGGTGATCTCCCCAATCAAAATGCTGGACTCAGAACCCTAACCAAGAAAAGAGAGAAGACAGAACAGGTCAACCAATCATCTCAGCTATATCTTTGCAGCAAAATACGGGGCAGAGTGTGTATGATGGACTAAGTGAATCAGTGGATTCTTCAAGGACCTCACAGTGCTTGGAGTGGCAAGACTGGCAGCGATTCATAACTGCTGCAATATCAAAACCACTTGAGCAAGAACCTCAGAGCATACCCTACATCCGGGACCTGGGGAGGGTGGGAAATTGGGTGGGCCTTTTCCCTTATTACCCCCCTTTAAACATGAAGGAAACAAAATGGAAAAAAAATAGTCTTACCCACTTTCCTGTTGCCCTTAAACCTTTTTACCTTAATTAACTATGTAAAAATTGTCAAAGAAGAAAAAATGGGGCTGGCACAATGGCTCAACTGGATAATCCTCTGCCTGCAAGTGCCAACATCCCATATTGGCTCTGGTTCAAGTCTCTGCTATCCAGCTCCTTGCTTAGGGCCTAGCAAAACAGTGGAAGATGATCCAGGACCTTAGGACATTGCACTTGTGTGGGTGACCCGGGAGAGACTCCCGGCTCCTTGCTTTGGATTGGCCACGTGGGGATCAAACCAGTGGATGGAGGATCTTGCTGACTCTCCCTCTCCCTGTAGATCTGCCTTTCTAATAAAAATAAATCTTAAATAAATAAATAAAAATTATTAAAATGATGAGCAATTATGATGCCTTATGGGACACCTGCACTCCATACAGGAGAGATGGAGTTCAGAGTCCCAGATCCACTTCTAATCCAGCAACAAGGGAGGTAGCAGTGATAGCGCAAGCATTTGGGTTCCTGCCAGCTCAAGGGAAGTCCTGACTGAGTTTCGGGCTCCTGCTTTTGGCTTGTCCCAGTCTCTATTACTGCAGGCATTTGGGATATGAATCAGCAAATAAAAGATCTCGATGTCTATTTAACTACCTTCCAAATAAACAAATTAAAAAAGATAAACTCAAGGGACTCGTGAAGAGCAGGTGAAGTCTGCCACCTGTGACACTGGTATCCTATGTGTGCTTTGGTTTCTGTCCTAACTGCTATACTTCTGATCTTGGTCCCTGGTAATGGGCAGAAAACAGCATCTGAAGTCGGCCCAAGTGCTTGGATGCTTGGCGCCATGTGAGAGACCCAGGTGAAGCTCCTGGCTTCAATCTGTCCCAGTCCTGGCCAGTGTAGTCATTTAAGGACTGAAAAAAAAGATGGAAGATCTTTCCAGTTTTCTCTGTGTCTCTTTCCCACTTTTCACTCATTTTTTTAACAAGTAAAAATTAATGAACCTGGCACTGTGGCATTGCACACTAAACTTCTACCTTTGGTGCCAGTATCTTACATGGGTGCCTGTTTAAGTCCTTGCTGCTCCACTTCTGATCCAGCGCCCTGCTTGTGACCTCAGAAAGCAGGGGAGGACGGCCCAAAGCCTTAAGCCCTTGTACCCAGGTAAGTGACCGAGGAGATCTCTTGGGTCCCAACTTTAGACCTGCCCGGCTCTGGACATTGTGGCCACTAGAGAAGTGAACCAGTGGATGGAAGATCTTTCTCTTTGCTTCTCCTTCTCATTCTGCATGTCTGCCTTTCAAATATAAATAAATACAAAGGAAATAAAAAAATTCTAACTTTATACAAAACCTGGAAACTAGAAGGGACAGACAGTCTTTTCTCATTCCCCCATAAAACCACAAAACATTTTTGCTCATCAAAGTATGGTTTTTCTGGGACTTTCGATTTAAAACCAAGACATACAAACTCATCGTTTTTCTCAATCTCTTACGTCATACCCGGTAAGTGTTGTCTTCAGAACCACTGTTGTCTACTTTAATGATATCAGTCTTCTGGTCCTCTGAGTCTCGTGATACATTACAGTTTGCTAAAGATGATCTGACGTATAATTCCTTAAAGTACGGTTGTTTCATTTTACGATTACAGCTACAAAAGAATAAAATGAAGAAAAAATAATCCCAAGAAAAACACGGTGTTTATATCTTAACATTAAAATTTGTGGTCACACACAGCTTAAAAGAAAGAATAAATAAAACAACAGTAACTTGAACAAAGTGCTATATGAATTTTACAATGGGTGACTGCTGTTGATTAGTGACAGTGCCAAGATTTCTGGGAATATAATGATTCTGTCAAGGTTCAGTGTTCGGCAAACTCCAGCAAGACATAATTCTTGTATGCGTCACAGTGACTTACAAAGTAGTGTCAGGACTTGGGACAATGATAACATGACACCTAAGAACTTGGGAAGAGTGAATATAATCATCTTTTGGGGACTGAAATTTTTAACATGACATATACTATGCCAAAAATAAGCACATTTGCTACTAGGCAAGTCCAAAGAGATTCCAGGAAATGTAAAGGCAAGAGCAAAAACGTATTTTTTAAAAAGGAGAATTTCAGAGGCAGATTTGACTGTAAACATTCCAATGGAGTCATTTCAAGCAGTGCTACAGTGATCTCATGTACAGACAGCAGATGCCCCTTAACTTAATCCTGATGGCATTGAACACAAGCATCATCTTCACCTTTGACCCTAAGGTCAGTAACTACCAGCTGATCAGGCCTGCCTACAAAGAAAAAAGGCTAATCACGGAGACTCAAGAATAGCCTTTCTGCTATTTTTCCCATGTAAATGAATAGAGCAATTTTGGTTTTATGTTAACCTGCTACTCTAGTAATGACACAGAGAAAAGGAACTTCTCATTTCTATGACTGTGTAGTCTACCCTTGATATCTGTGGAGGTTAGCTGTGGGACCCGCCTTCCACAACAAAATTCAGGAGCTCAAGTCCTTCATGTAATCCTTGCAGTAACCTATATGCATTCTTGCATCCTTCAAATCCTCTCCAGACTGTCCTACCTAATACAATGTAAATTCTATGGAAATGTTTGTACTGATTAGACAACAATGATCAGCCAAAGAAAAAAACATTGAGTACACAGGCTTAGCCACAACATTACTTTTTTGTAAAGTATTTTTGACATGTAGCTGGTTGAATCTGCAGGTATGGAACCTTGGAAACTAAGGGCTGACTGCATTCATAAAATCTGAGTTAACAAGGGATAGCTTTAACGAAAAAGCCAGTCAACTTCTTATAGTCTGCATTCAAATTTCTAAAACCAAGACACATACCTCATAAAATGGCAACTGTTTTTACTGTGGTGCCTAATAGTCTGAATTGTTTTGCAACAATATGGGATTTTTGATCGTCGAGGAACCCTTCTACAGCATTCTTTCCTGTTTCCACATTCACTTTCAGAAGTTATATCCGTATCTCTTTTCGGGCACAGGTCTTGCTCAGGAACAGTATCTGCTATACAATTAGAAGTCTAGAATAAAAAAAAAATTAGCAACTTTGTTAAAAGCTCAAATCATTGACTGCTTAGAAAACAGAGTTAATGGACTAGACATGCTTGAAATTAAAACTGGAATTCAACTTCTAGTATGAGTAAACAGGCTGCTACCACAGAAAACAACTTATACTGGGAAAATACAAACAAGAGGAAATAAAAATCAGAAAAAAATAACTCAAAGATCTTGAAAAGTGAACAGAAAGTAAGATTTATCTAGCTGGGAATTGACACTTGGGGAAGATGAACCAGATTTGAGTGTTTTATAGTTTTCAGCTAGAGAATTTATCCTACCCCTGCAGAAAGTCTTAACCCCAATGAGAGACAGTGTAGAGTAGACAGTGTAGACAGCAAGTAGCCCAATGAAGGAAGAAATGAAATCAAATTTGAAAATAGCTGTCCAAAGGAACAAACTGATAGCTTAGGTAAACCAAGCTAAATGTTTGTTATAATAAAAATGTCAATACTGTCTGGGAGACTATTAACACAATTCAGTTACCACAACCTAACATTCACCACGCACAGAAAACCTTCCAAAATTACTCATGGTAAAGAACCAAAAAAATGCTTGTTCTCAGGAGAAGAGGTGATCATGAGGATGGCCCAATTTTTGAATGACTAGCAAAGAACTTCCAAACAGTGATCTAACTTTGCGCAAAGACTAAGTATACCTGTTATAAAGGAAAACAAAACTCAGAAACCATCAAGATAGAAATTCCACGATCAAAAAACACAACATTGGAAGTAAAAATGGCCTGGGTAGGACTAACAACAAAATGAAGCAATAAACAAAGAGCCAGTGAAATTAAAAATAGCTCAATGTTAAAATAGCTAAGGAAAAAGTTGATGAAATATGTAGAGCTCCATCATACTTGGGGGACAATATCAAAAGTCTAAGTGGAAATCTGATAGGGAGACAATGGAGCAGGAAAAATATTTACTGAAATTACAGCCAATAGTTTCCATATTGAATAAACATAAATTTCTATATTCAAGAAAGTCCTTAGGCACAATGAGTCCAAATTGCAGAAAATCAAAGACGAATTCCCAAAAGCACCAAGTAAAAGAAACACTTTACAAATAAAACAAAAAGCAAATTCAAGGGGGGAGGGTAGCACTGTGGTGTAGCAGTGAAGTCCCTGCCTGCAGTGCTGGCATCCCATAAGGGCGCCGGCTCCAGGCTTAGCTGCTCCACCTATTATCCAGCTCCCTGCTAATGCGCATGGTCAAGCAGTGGAGGCTGGCCCAAGGCCTTAGGATTCTGCACTCGCAGGAGACCTGGGAGAAACTTCTGGCTCCTGGATTCAGACCTGCAAGCTCTGGATATTGTGGCAATTTGGGAAGTGAACCAGTGGATGGAAGACTTTGTGCTCTCTGTATTATTCTCTTTGTAACTCTGCCTTTCAAATAAATAAATAACCTTTAAAAGTTAAAAAATTAAAAAAAAAAAATCAAGGATGTGAATTAATGGTGACTTTATACTTGAAGCCCAGGATATAGTGCTGAAAGAGAATAGCACGGCAATTTAGAATTCTATAACTGGTGAACATGTCCTTCAAAAATAAAGACGAAATAGAGAGTTTTATTGTTCACAGGTGTACACTACCAGCTGTGCCAAACTAAATTCAGGCTGTCTCTTCTGTGAATAAAAAGACAAATGCTGGCAGAAGGGAGATAGATAACCAGGAGGAAACTTGACCTCTTAGAAAGAAATACAGAGCATCACATCTGATTTAAATTTGGAAAATAAAAATGGCATCTATGTATTTTTCCTTTTATTTTCTTTAAAGTAAAATCTAAATGTTCTGTGGGTATAGTGCATCCAAATGTGGTACGAAGTGACAACACTAACAAAGTAACAGGTAATAAGATCTCTACAGTTTACACTGAATAATAAGTATTAACCCTCGGTAGGCTGTGGGCTATTTTTATATACAGCAACCAAAATAAACCAAAAATCTAAAAATAAAACAAATTCAGAGAAAGTATTACTTAAGATATAATATAAAAGTTAACTTAAAAATATCCAGAGGTTAAGTGTTTGGGTAGCAGGTAAAATGTTGCTTGGGATGCCTGCATCCAACACTGAAGTGTCCAGTTCAAACATCGGTTCCCTTGCTTCACACTCAGAGTTGATGCAAAGGTTTCCTTGGTAAGGCACAGTGTGGCTTCAATGCCTGGAACCTTGGTGTTCACATGGGAGACCCGATGTGAGCTCCTGCCTCTTGGCTTTGGCCAGCCCAGCGTTGATTATTGTGAACATGTGGGTTGTAACCCAGTGCATAAAAACTTCTCCGTCTCTTTGCCTTTCAAATGAAATGCAAACAGGAACATAAACATAAAATAATGAATTTCTGAGTCAAAATGACATTTGATTAATAGCATCTGTGGCCCATCTCACCATTTTTCTATCTTAAACCCGGGTGGAAAGCAAACTCCAATTCCAATATGTTCAGGAGGTGTGGTATCCTAGAAAATTACCACTACTTGTGAACCAGAGTAAGGATGCTTGGAGATAGCAGTACATTCTCACAACTGTAGTTTGTTCATAGATTCTAAAAATCAGGGAATCAGAAGCAAGGGTAACAAAAGAATAAACAGTTCTGGAGTGCAATGTCTGCCAAATAACTTGCTACTTAGGGCCAATTTCTAGAAATGTTTTAATCATGGAACAACCACAGGGAGAGTAGAGGCCAAAGGCAGCTCATTGTCCTTTGTGTTAGCAGGCACTGGGTCTAAAGAGTACCCTGAAAGATGACTGAGGGAGGCAGCCTATAGCACTGCACAAGACAGAGCAAGTATATAAAGAAGGTCTGAAGGACGCCGACAAGGAAAAGTCATAAACAAATACACATTACTTTTCCAATCACTATTATAGATAATACCATTTCTATAAAGATAAACAAAAGACACAGAGTGATGCATTGTACGTCAGTTATTGTTGGTTGATTCGCTGTTATATAATTTTGACTTTTAGACCCTTTGTTTTAAACACACACTTTTAGAAAAGTAGGAAAAATAATTACATCATTAAGAAGCTGCAAAATTTGATCATCTAATTTCTGAAGTTTCATGTCATTTTGAAAATCATTTTCGGCATTACATTTCTCCGGCTCTGAAGATGGACACACAGATAAAAAAGATGTCAAAACAGTCTCCGGTGGTGTGCTTGTATACTGCTCCATGGGAGGTAACTCCTCAATGGGTGGGGTTACCACTGGCACGCAATCAACAACCTGACACAGAAACAAACCAAGAGCCCTTTAAATTCACATTCATCTAATACTTAAAAGTTGAAGGTGGCTTTAATGTTAGGAGGACAGAACCACAATACTATACCTCATCTTCACTCATATTTAGGGGACAATCAGAAGAAGTTAAATTATCCAAGAGACCTTCAAAGCTCGGTAGGCGTGATGAACTCATGTCTGTCAAATTGACTGGTTCACCAAAGATATTCTTACAATCTAGGACTCTAAGCTGTGGCAATGTCTGGAGAATAATTGTTCTGTACCCTTGGAAACAAATCATACAAAATGAAAATTTAAACATTAACTACAGTTATTTCTAGAATTAAAAATCTACCAGTTCTCAGATTTATCACTTGAATGATCAAAGCTAGCTGTAGAGAAAAATTAATAAACTTGTATTAAATGTTACTTATTTATCTTCTCCGGCATATACTGATTAAATATAAAAATCCCTTCTGTGCTCCCCTCTCAAATAACCCTCATGATGAAGTTTACAAAGATAAAATCATCATCTCTAAACATTTCTTTTAAGCTATGAACACATGAAACTGCACAGCAATTTGCTCTTGGGGACAGCTAGCATATCTTTTGTTTTAATTAGTATGAACACAAATAATAAACATGAATCAGGACTATGTGGATAATGAGCAGAGTGTCAGAATTTACATAATAAAGACTCAAGCATTTGTAAGACATCCCCTTTTGCTCTGTTAAGTTATCCATCGCTGACACTAAGCTAGCTGAGTTATTATTAAATGCAGTGAATATTTACTTTCCCTAACAACAGTTCGAAGAATATGACAAATATTAATTGGTGTTGAGGCTGAAAGGAGTAGTTTCCCCTTGCTTAACTGTGTTCCTTTGAAACTATATTTTAAAAAGTTTTATTTACAGATTTCAAAGGCAGAGAGACAGAAAGAAGAAAAGACAGTGAAAGAGAGCGAGCCAGAGCATTCATCTGTTTTACTCTATGTTTGCAATAGCTGGGGTTTGGCCACAGGAACTCCATCCAAGCCTCCCACATGCGGGGCGGGACCCTATTACTGGGTTCCTCCCTTGCCTCCCAGCAGCATTTGCAGGAAGCTGGCTCAGAAATAGGGGGGCCTCAATCACAGGCACTGAGAACTCAGAGAGGAGTTACAGGTGACCCAGCAGGGGTTTAAGCAGATGCATCACGATGCTTGCCTCTGTTTAACTGTAATTTAAAAGTGAAGTACTTTTCTACAGAAGCTAAAGAAAGAAAACTGCCAAATTAATATTGCAACTTTTAAGGAAGGAGTTCCAGCCATCAGCCCCTTCTGATTCTGGAGGGAACTGGGTTGTGAAATGCACTTTTATTAAAATACAATGCTATAGGGACTATCATGAAAAATACTAACAGCAATAAAACATTTTAAAAAGAGAACAAAAAATCAAATTGAAGGAACTAGAGATTCTTGAGACAAGAGTGTTAGGAAAAGAAATCTAACCCTTGGGTTAACAGAGAAGAAAAATATAAAGAGTTGGAAACAAGATTTTCTTCCAAGAGTTCCTCCAGAAAACTCTCAATTTTTTTCCAGTTTTGCAGGGTGATTTTGTTGTACACTGTTGAGAAACTACTTCTTATGCAAGTATTTCTGTAAAACAAAAATTTAAACAGGTTTTCATGCTGCAAAAAAAGGAAAAGCCTTTTCATAGATGCATATGAATGCCAGAAGCCTCCAAAGCCAATTTGTATCCAAGAAGTTCTTTTGGATTCATATTCTAAAAATTTATTATTTGGTTAAGTGTCTGAAATAAGGGAGTTATGGAAACAGCATTCAGGTTTTTTATGTTGTCACTTGGTTAATTCTGATTTAGATCAAAGGGTATTTCAGCATCATCAACTATACTGTTCAATGTTTAAAAATCACTTATTAATAATGTAATATTGACATAAAATTCAAATGTTTTCTCAACATTACTTGAGCTCTAGTTCCCAATTCCTTTTTCTGGAGTTAGCCAATATTATCAGTTTTTAGCGTATTTTCTAGGTGTTTTATGTACATGCTCAGTAAAATACATAAATGTAAGTGTGTATGTAGGATATGTTATCTTTTCACACAAAAGGTAGCCTATTATATGTGATACTTTGCAACCTGCGTTTTTCTTTTACTATAATTGACACCTATTAATAAGGACATTCTATGTATTTTTTATGGCTATGTAGTATTACTTGATTACAACATTGGTAATTATGCTATTTTGAGGAATTCTCTTATCAAATACATCTAACTAGAGTTATTGACTTGCTCATCCTGGGTTGTTCTTTCAGCAGCAATTTAGTTTGTATAAACAAATACACAAAACATTGTAAAGGCCAAGAATATTAGCTGTTACAAAAAGTAGTACAAACTGTTCGTACCTGGTGCATGACAGACAGGATTTCCCTCTCCGTCCTTCTCCAAAATAAGATTGGTCAAAAAGTGCAATCCTACTGTACACTGAAGTAAGTGGTGGATGCTATCTACACAGTTACTGTGCAGGTCAATATATCTAAGCTTATACCTAAGTCCATGGAGGGGCATCAATCCTGTAAGAGGACAAACATCATTTGGGTAGTTTTTGTCAGGAGAATTTTTTCCAATAGTTAACTAAAAATAACTGTTACATAGGTTATACTGTGAAAGGCAAAAAACTAAACCAAACCAAAGCAGACAAAAAAAAAAAAAAACACAACACCTTCCATCAAAGAGCAATAGGATCTCGCCACCCTTGTCCAACAAGAACGAGTGAGCTATTTTTGAAGAACCACAGGATCAGCGTCTTTTTGAGGCTTTACTGCTTAAGGTTCCTGGGCTGTAGCTCTCTGCAAAACCAAAGGCCCACCTCAGGCCAGTGTACACACTTACATGCAAACTCTCAAGGCATCATTTTTGGATTAGCTGACATCAGCAAACCATATACTATACCTTGATTTTGTTGGTCTGAGTAGAGAATAAACACAAACGGTGCTCGTTTAGTTTATGGGCAGTACTTCTTGCAGGAACTTACCCAGAGCATTCTGCAGCAGATGCCTGGCCCACCTGGCTTCAGCTGCACTGTGAACCGTGCTTTGTACACTGCTGATGCAGTTTATCTCCTTTCCTGTCTCAGGACCCTCTCCAAAGAGGAGGGAACGCGTGCAGCAAGGGATGTGTCAGGGACAGGCTCAATGTCCTGGTTTTCCTTCTTTTGAAGGACTGTGCTGAGATGCACAATTTAGTTTTCCTATACTTGTCCTCACAAATTTGCTTAGTTTAGCTCTCTCCATCTTCAACATTAATCCCTTTTTTTTTTTTTTTTAGTTTATTAAACCTAACTAGAATACCCTTCTCTCCTCAATGCTTTCTGGCTGATTTTCAGAAGTCTTCTCCAACTACTCTACGACATCTGATTTTCCTGTGATACTTTCTCATAGCACTTGGCACTCTCCTTAAAGAATCAATACATTTATAAGTTACTAGATCAGGGTTACTAGATTTCCATATGTTTAAACATTCTGATCCTCTCTCTCTAGTTAAGATTTTAAAAATTTTACTTGAAAGTCAGTTACAGAAGGGGAAAACAGAGAGAACCTTCTTCCATGTGCTGGTTCACTTCCCAAAGGCAGGAGTGGCTGCAGCTGAGCTGATCCAAAGCCAAGAGCCTGGCGTTTCTTCCAGGTTTTCAACAGGGGTGCAGGCACCCAAAGGCTTGAGACACGGTCTGCTGTTTTTCCTTGCCGTAAGCATGGAGCAAGATAGAATATGGAGCAGCCGGTAAACGCACCGATTCCCATATGGGATGCCATGACACAGGTGAAGACTTAGCCTGCTACACTACTGTGCCAGCCCTGAAATGATCTTTTAAGAACATCAATTTGGGGTTTGCTCTTGGTTCAGCACTCAGGGATACAGTTAAGGAGTGTCTGGGTTCAGGGCCCAGTGCTCTGCTAAATGCACCCTGGGCGGCAACAGGTGATGGCTCCAGGATGTGGCACCCCATCACTCATGTGGGAGGGAGCTCCCCTCTATTTTTGGGTTTGGTTTACCACTTGCTGTCGCAGCAATCTAGGGTTGAAAACAGCAAAAGGAACATCTATCTCCCTTTTTCTTAGCATCCCATACACCCTGGCTTTTCAAAAAAAATGATTTAAAAAATTAAAAGACAAACTATGTCACTCCCTTATTCAATAACCTCTAATGTCTTCCTATTATTCCCAGAGTAAAATGTGAACTCTTTATCCTACCTATGAAGGCTTATGCAACCTGGTCTCTGCCTACCTTCCCATCACTTTTTTTCAATAGATGAATCTATAATTGGCTATGACACAACACACTAGTCTTCCTACAGGCAAGCTTGATGCTGCCTTCCTCCCGCCACTTTGTTGAAGTGTTTCGGAACATATACTTTTATTTCACGAATCTAACAGAACACATGTGACTGCCTCGTTTTCTGTCTTCTTCACAGCCCTTATCACTTACGGGAAACAGTTCGTGTCCTGGCTGCTCTACTTCCGATTCAGCTCCCTGCTTATGAGGTAAGAGAGCACCAAATGGTAGCTCAAGTCCTCAGTTCCCTACTCTTATGTTGGGACCCGGAAGAAGAGGCTCCAGGCTCCTGGCTTTGGATCATCTCAGCTCTGGCCATTGTGGCAACTTGGGGAGTCAACCAGCAGATGGAAGATCTTTCTCTTTTTGTCTCTCCTTCTTTAAGTATGTCTTTTAAATAAAAAAAAATTTAAGGACAACTATAAAGACTTAAATTGAGCAATTCTTGTGCAAACTTTGAAATAAATATTATGTTGCTGAAATACTGTGAAAACTTTGTACTTTAAAGATTTATTTTTATTATTTTTTTCATTGGAAAGGCGGATATACAGAGAGGAGAGACAGAGAGGAAGATCTTCCGTCCGCTGATTCACTCCCCAAGTGAGCGCAACGGGCCGATGCTATGCCAATCCGAAGCCAGGAGCCTCTTCTGGGTCTCCCACGCGGGTGCAGGTTCCCAAAGCTTGGGCCGTCCTCGACTGCTTTCCCGGGCCACAGGCAGGGAGCTGGAAGGGAAGCGGGGCTGCCGGGATTAGAACCGGCGCCCATATGGGATCCCAGGCGTGCAAGGTGAGGACCTTTAACCACTTGCGCCACCGCGCCGGGCCCAAAACTTTGTACTTTAAAAGTGACTAAAATTTTCTCTTTCAAAGTAGTTTGCTCAATACACTACAGTAATGCGCCTAGTGCAGTAGCCTAATGGCTAAAGCCCTCACCTTGCACATGCTGGGACCCCCTTTGGGCACTGAATCTTTTTTTTTTTTTTAAAGATTCCTTTATTTTTATTACAAAGTCAGATATATAGAGAGGAGGAGAGACAGAGAGGAAGATGTTCCGTTCAATGATTCACTCCCCAAATGAGCACAACAGCTGGTGCTGCACCGATCTGAAGCTGGGAACCAGGAACCTCCTCCAGGTTTCCCACGGGGGTGCAGGGTCCCAAAGCTTTGGGCTGTCCTCGACTGCTTTCCCAGGCCACAAGCAGGGAGCTGGAAGGGAAGCGGAGCTGCTGGGATTAGAACCAGCGCCCATATGAGATCCCAGGCGCGTTCAAGATGAGGACTTCAGCCGCTAGGCCACGCCATCAGGCCCAAGGGCACTGATTCTAATCCCAGCTGTTCCACTTCCCATCCAGCTCCCTGTTTGTGAGCTGGGAAAGCAGTTGAAGACTGCCCAAAGCCTAGGGACCTGAACCCATGTGGGAGACCTGGAAGAAGCTTCGGCTCCTGGCTTCGGATCAGTGCAGCTCTGGTCACTGCGGGTGCTTGGGGAGTGAGCCAACAGATGGAGGATCTTTCTCTTTATCTCTATCTCTCTTTTTTTAAAAAAAGATTTATTTTTACTACAAAGCCAGATATACAGAGAGGAAGTTCTTCTGTCCAATGATTCACTCCCCAAGTGAGCGCAAAGGCTGGTGCTGCGCCAATCCAAAGCCGGGACCCGGAACCTCTTCCGGGTCTCCCACCCGGGTGCAGAGTCCCAACGCTTTGGGCCGTCTTTGACTGCTTTCCCAGGCCACAAGCAGGGAACTGGATGGGAAGTGGAGCTGCCAGGATTAGAACTAGTGCCCATATAGGATCCCAGAGCATTCAAGGCAAGGACTTTAGCCACTAGGCCACGGTGCCGGGTCCTATATCTCTTTTTGCATATATCTGCTTTTCTGATAAAATAAATCTTTAAAAAAATACAGTAGTTTGCATAAAATGCTAAAACTCAATTTTGATGTTTTCATGTCTTTAGAGGGAAAAAGGCTGAAAAATTAAACAGCTGCTACTTAAGCTGAAGGGTATAAATAGGTCTTTTTATTTTTGGCATATTAAGCACCTGCATAAGGTATTGTTTTTGGAGCGGGGAGCAAAAATAAAACCAACAAATGAATACAATGATTTCAAACATGTGTAAGTTTTCGAACATGCTGAGTTGAAGCTTCCTCCTCATGCATTAAAACATTCAGCATTACAGAAAACAAGTGTTATCTACTTACCACTAAGATCATTTATGTGGTTATAAGATAAATTCAGTTTAGTCAGATTAATTAGTGCTTCAAGTCCTAAAACAAAATAAAACAGAATGAAAATAAAGCCTTTACATAATTATTCAAACTGGATGTAGCTTTGCAGTATTGGTTCCAGCTGCTACGAAGCAAACCCAGTCCGGTAACACTGAAATCAATTTTACTGGTATTTTTAAAAATATTTAGTCTTTAAAACTTGATAACTTTATGAGGAAAACTTTGTGTAATGAATTTTGGTGTCAGTTTTCAAGAGATTCTGATCATTTTTTATTCTATTCTTTTGGGCAAATAAATTCAAGTCATCTTCTTTTTGCAAAGTATTACATAAAAATCACTTACAAACCTTCTATTCTTGTGATCAAGTTGCAGGACAAATTTAAAGTGCATAGTTTTGTCAGAGTGTTTAGCCCTTCAATTTGACTTATTTGATTAGATGACAGGTCTAAATGTTGTAAGTTCCAAATATGATCAATGGCTTCAATCTTAGAGATGTTGTTGCAATGGAGATTGATGGCATGAAGGGTTGAATCTAAAGATAACTGTGATATTCTACAAAAGAAAATATAGTATAAAAAAAAAGCAAGCAGGCATTTCAAATGCATGACCAAATAATCAAAATTAGTCAAACATCATGTAGACAGCATGTGCTGCTTTTCATGCTACAGTGGAATCCTACCACTGGGGTGGCCTTCAAATGTCTCCTCAGACACTGCTTTTACAATATGAACAAGTATCCTGGACTATGAGTATGAACCCAAACCCTCTCAAGGAAGGTAGGTGAAACTGGACAAATCCAGCCACTACACGCGGACAGTCAGTAATTGTAGGAGCTCTAAAATCTAAACACTCCTCCCGTTCAATCTTGCTCTCTCTCTCTTTTTTTTTTGCTGTTACTTCAACAAATGACCTTTGAAAATGTCATTTTACTTATTAGGTTGTCGGTTGTCATAGCAATTTTAATTAGTAGGTTTCCTAAAAATATTTAAGCACACAGAAATTAAATAAGTTGCCCACAGTCTTGCAGTTAGGTTAAACCGAGCTCTGACCTGATGCTGGAGTTAGTTTACGAGCTTATTTTCCTCACTGCCTACAAGGGTTAATTCAATCTAGAATGCACTTAGCTTCTAATAGAAGCACTGATTATTGCTGTTTGTAGGGAAAAAGAAGTCCCCACTGCAACTGTTGAAAATTGCAACGTATTTCTCCTAAGCAGAAGCCATCACTTCACTCTCTGAATGACTATTTGCAACTGGAACCTTCTCTGAAGGCTTGCAGGCTCTGTAGTTGCTACTATTCCACTGAAGACGACTTAATTCTGCAGCAGGGAAGCAGCCACGGATTTCAGATCAGAAATCTCTAAGTGTGAGTGTTTTAAGAATGTTCCCATTATCCAATGTGTTACTTACTGAACTCTTAGTTCTCTGACACTATTACTATATGCTCTTAACCACAACCACTACATTTTCTGACACATTTCTGTTCCTAGAAATTAACACATGCTGTGGAACGTAGAAACAGCAGCCTGTGAGATTAGACAGAAATGGATCTGAATTAAACATTAATGTCTCGCCACATGCATGAAGTCTGGCGGATTACTGAGGTTGTCTTTCATCACTCAATGCATACGAAGCACTTTCTCATCAGTAGCACAGAAGGCACAGCAGACAACTGTACAAGGGAACAACATGAGCAAAAGTGCAGGGGAGACAGCGAGGACCTCTTCCAGCCCTGGGTAGCTAACCAAAGAGCCTAGCTGGAGAAATGTTCCAGAGCAGACAGAGAAAGTAACTCAGAACCAAGAACCTCCAATCACATGCACAAGTTCAGGCAGCAAGCGATGACTTCAACAGCGTATTGTGGAAAGCATCACCAAGACATTAACACCGCAGCCAGGAAAGCGAGGCGACACTAGGGAAGAGAAGCTAGCGATAGAGCCGCGGGCCCTGGAGACACCAGACTGCCACTGAGGGACAGACGAGACCAACCATGAAAGGGCAAGCAACGCAGTGACCAGTGCCGAGCCCGGGTCAGCAGACGCGAGCAGCGGCAAGCGCCCGGGCCGGGTTCGAGGTCCCGCAGAGCGGTGAGGAGGGCACAGCCTGGGCCGTGGGGTGCGGGGAGCCCCGAGGCCCCGGCCGCCCCGCTCCCACCGCCCGCAGCCGCCCCGCTCCCGCCGCCCGCAGCCGCCCCGCTCCCGCCGCCCTCAGCCCCGGGCCCCGGCCGCTCCGCGGGGCGAGGCGGGGCGCCCTTCACCTCTGTAGACCTTTGTCCATGAAGCACACATCCCCGCAGCTGCTGTCGCCTTCCTCGGTTCCGACTTCTGCCTCTCCCGTCGCCTCCATGGCACCAGCGACGGGGAGCGGACGGGGGTCTTAGGCGGCGGCCAGCGCTGGGGCGCAGAGCCCGGTACCGGCCCGGGGTGGGGGGCGGGCCGAGAACGCCCCTTCAACCGACAGCCGGACCCTTCCCGCCCACACGCTGCCGCAAACGCCCAGGCCGCTCTGCGCCGGCGCCGGGGTCGCTTTTACCGCAGCTCTGCCGTAAAACGGCGCCACGGGTCAGCAGGAGAAGCTTGGGCGGCTCGGCGTGACAGCCTGTCTCTTCCCGAGGCGGTTTTACTGTGGCTTCTCCCGACACGGCCTCACACATGTGTACAGGGTGTCCCCACCGTCCATGCCGCTTGCTGTTGATTCGTAAAACGTTGTGGGGGTCTTACTGTGTCCACTCGCTGCGCCCTGAGAGAGAAGCCTCCTCAGCCCAGGGGAGGGAAGGAGAAGTTGCCACACAGCATGGCTAGGAATAGCGCAGGGACATCCAAGCTCATTGTAAATGCTGTGAGTAGTCGACAAGTTTTATAAGAGGAACTGATTGATGACTGAGACCGTATTCAATGAATTAGATGGAAAATCCATTCCTGCATGAGAGAACTCTCCTGAGGACACTGCGTCCCGATTCATGACATGGCATTTAAAGACGGAAACAAAAAGTAGATATCTTTAAATTTGACCCTGTCATTATCCTGCAGTTAAGTCTTCCAAGGTTACCCTTTAAGGGGAACAAAATAAGACTGCAGCGGTTTTCTTTGTTTGTGCTGGCAAAAAGTACACGTTAGGTATCTATAGTACCACGTTAGTCCATCTATTTTGTTGTTAACACCTAGTGTGAAAATCAATATGCGAAAACAGTTAAAATTAATTTGACTACATTGCAATTTTATAATGCGTATCTAAAAGGATTTTGTTTTCTGTTTATTTTGTAGTTTACAGCTGTTAATCATGGTGTGGTTATTTTTATTTTTAAATTTTGTATGTTTCAAATCTAACATTGGAGACTTCCTGCCAGATTCTAAGACACATGGCCACATTCATTATTTACTGTAGCCAAATTCTGTGTAACATATCTACAACTCCTTTCAACAGGAGACAGCAGTGAGATCTGTTAGAAGATTCTGGGCTGGTCCTCAACTTTTGGCTAGAGGAGTGTTTTAAAAAGTGTGCCTTGAGGGTGGTAAGCCACGCCTCCACTACAGCTGACATTTCTGTCTCATAATTGCCCAGCCAGCATTTATGTCAGCCGAGGCTAACCGAGTGAAGAATGAGAGATTGCCTGTAGCCGAAATAGGTCTCCCCGCTTGTTTGAGTGAGCTTTGGCTTCCACACAGCAGGAAGGGGTTTCTCGCTCTTGGGAGGCCTGGAGCCAGAGATGAGGCTGCTGCCAGGGTCAGATTCTGGTGTGAGCCCTCTTCTCAGCTGCAGACTGCCACCTGCTGCTCTCTCCTCCCCAGAAACACAAAGCGCTGAGAGGGCTCTGGGATTTCATTTAGAAGAGTGTTAATCCCATGCACCAAGGCCCCACTTTTATGACCTGATGGTCTCCTAAGGAATGCACCTCTTCATACATGGTGTTGTGTGTTAGGATTGAAGTGTATGTTGGAGGAGAGGGGCATGACCACTTCATGATTTGGTGAAGGATACACACATGCATGTGTGAGCCCTGCAGAGATCGGACCAGGTGGTCACAGCTAATACTGAAATGAGGACGAAATCGTTTTATGTAAAGCTAACAAGTGCAAGGGATGGTTACTTGTTGACTGGGATCATCATTAACACTATAAATATTCACTACAGATTTTAATGGGGCTAATATTATAGTCTCACCTAAAACAAATAGGTGATCTCAGAAAAAAAATGCATGATATAAATGCCCTGGATCTTTCCTCCAATATCAAAGGATTTTTATCAATCAGAAAACTGGCTATAGGGAGTAGAGATAAAAAAAAAAAAACTTGTAGCTTGTATCTTTGTTGTCCTCATATTTAAGGATTAACACTCTTGAGAGTAATGGTATTTTTGCCTATTTTTGATTATACATTTATAAGAATCTTCATTTTTTCCTCTAATACATTACTTATCAAATAAACTTTTTAAAACTAGCATCTACATGACATCTCAGTTCTAAAATTAAAATATTGTATCACTGGCATTCTAAAGAAAGCAACAGCTTGAATTCAACCACTACCCTCTGAGATCTTGTATCATGTTTTTAAACTGTGCTTCACTTTCCCCAGGGCTCACTTCTCATGGTTGCGTTGGAAGACATTGTGTGGTTCCTAAAGAGCAATACGCTTGACCTCAGTCTTAGTAGTGTGAGAGCAAGCAGGAGACAGGCACTTTAATTGAGCAGTAAGATGGTGCTGTGCGGGAGTCAGGATAGCATCTGTTCTGGAAGGGGTAATATGTTGTTTAGAAAGGTGATAAGGGGTGTGTGTGTGCAACAAGAAGACAGAAAATTGAACCTGAATTAAACCTTTGTTCAGAACCTGCTGTGGCTAACTAGCTGGGAAAATGATAAGTGTTTTGAAGGCAAGTGGAGATGTGAGATGGTGTGGAAATGGCAGCAGGTTTGTGAGAAAGTTCGGAAGGAGATGCAAAGGAACTTGATAGCAGAGTAGTATTTATGGAAGGGATGTGGTTAGTTTGTGTTTTATAAAGTAGTCCATAAAAACTGAATGGAAGTTGGAGTGGAGAGAAGAAATTTGAGCGAAATGAATAAATTAAGGGGTTGTTACAATAATACTTCAGTTTTGACTAGTATTTATCGAATGCTTACTGTTGGTATGCATCCTGTCTGCTCCACTTCTGAGCCAGCTCCCTGCCAATGCATCTGGGAAAGCATCGGAGGAGGGCTGAAGTAGTTGGGCATTTGTTACCACATTGGAGACCTTGATGGAGTTGAAGACTCCTTCCTGGCTTCTGCCTGGCCCAGCCCTGGCTGTTGTGGCCACTTGGGTAGTGAACCAGCAGATGGAAGATATTTCTCTCTCTCTCTTCATACATTTCTCTCTGTCTTCATCCCTCCCTCCCTCCCTCTGTGACTTTGCATTTCCAGTAAATAACTCCTTTAAAAAGGAATTTTGTGCTAATGGAGCTTTTCCTCGTTCCAGAGCGATTGTTCATTTCAAGTTTTGGTGGACCATTTTCTAATGCCTTTCTTATTTTATCCTGTAATTTTCATTCTTATGCTTATTTTATGTTTTATATGTTTGCAGGTATAGGGCTTCCCCACTGTCCCTCCCTCTACTCCTCCTCCTCCCTGCCCCTGTCTGCTGTATTTTACATTAATATGGTCTTTGAGCTGTAGTCTCAACTCCAGCATCCTACTCTTTATGTGGGTCATGGCATTGTAGGTAGAAAACTGGTAGAGAGTCTAGTATTTTGTTGTCAGGTATGTTTAAGAATTTCATTGGGAGCCTTTTTTATTCAGAAGTAGAGATGCATACTACCATTCTTTTATTCCTGGAATTTTGGTCTCAATTACAGCATTTGTTTCAGAGCTTATGAGCGAATACTTGTTTACCTATAAACAAATATTTTGTTTTGTATTTTGGGTGAAAGTTGTCATATCAGAGAGAACATATGATGTTTGTCCTTTTGGGATTGGCTTATTTCACTGAGCATATTGGTCTCCAGTTGGGACCACTTTGTTGCAAACTGTAGAATATCATCCATTTTAATGGCTGAGTAGTTTCCTATAAGAGTAGATGTAACACAGCTTTTTTATCCATTCATCTTCCAGTGGATGTCTAGGTAGTTTCCATGTCTTTGCCGAATTGTGTTGTTATGAATATGGGGATGCAGGTTACTTTCTCATATGTTTGTGCCACTTCTTTTGAATGTATTTCCAGAAATGGGATTGCTGGGTCACATGGTAGATGAATTTTTGGTTGCCTGAAAATTCTTCATTCTGACTTCCCTAGTGGCTGCACTTGTCTACACTCCCATCAGCAATGGAGTAGGGTACCTTTTCCCCACATGTGTGCTACCAGGTGGTATTATTAGTATAGAATTCTGTATGTAGGCAGTTGTCACTGGAGTTAAGTGGAACCTCAATGTGGCTTTTAATTGTGAACCTGAGTGTTTTTTTGTATGTTTGTTAGCTACTTGAATTTGTTCTTTTGGAAGATGTCTGCTCATTTCCTTCACCCATTCCTTAACAGAGATGCTTGTTTTGCTATTGTTGTGTTTCTGGAGCTCTTTGTATATCCTGGATATTAGTCCCCTACGTGTTGTGTAGTGTGCAAAAATATTCTCCCATTCTCTTGACTGCTTCTTCACTTTATTGACCTTTCCTTTGCTGTACTGAAGCTTCTTAGTTTGACGTAGCCCCAGTTTTAAAATCTAGCCTTGAATGCCTGTGCTTTAATGACTTTTCAAGGCCTGTGTCTTGTAGAGTGCTTCCTGTTTTTCTATAAATGTTTGTTGGTTTCTGGGTGCACATTTACGTCTTCAATCCATGTAGAGCTGATTTTTGTGTAAAGTGAAAAGTGAAGGTCTTGTTTCTTACTTCTTCATGTGGCTATTTGCTGAGGAGACCAACTTTTCCCTGGATTATTTTCAGTTTTCTTGTTGAAGATTAGTTGGCTGTACATGTGTAGACTTTCTTCTGGGGTTTCTGTTCTATTCCATTGATCTTTCTGTATCTGTACCAGTACCAGATTATTTGATTATCACTGCCCTTTAATTTGTCCTAAGGTCTGGAATTGTGTTTCCTCCAGCTTGAATTTTATTCTTTAAGATGGCTTTGGCTATTCATGGCCTCTTGTGATTCCCAATGGGTTTTTAGGTTGTTTTTTTTTCCAGCTCTGTGAAGAATGTTGAGATTTTGATTGGGATTATATTGAATCTATATTTCTTTTGGCAGTATAGATATTTTGATGATATTGATTCTATCAATCCAGGACATGGTACGTTTGTTGGTCTTTTAAGTCTTCTTTTGGAATATATTTTTTAAATGTTTTATAATTTTTGTCAGAGAGGTCTTCCACATCTCTAGTTTGGTTTATTCTCAGTTTGGTTTATTCCCAGTTTTCTACCTACAATGCCATTTAATGTTCCTCTCTGCTATTTTTTTTTTCTAAGCCACAATTTAATTTCTGGGGTGTGGGGGTGGGGACAGGTGTGCCGCTCAGTC